TGAATTATAAATGGAAAATCAGTTTAAATGGTGTTAACTTGCAATTTGTGAGTGAATTTTGAGTTGAAGACGGCGTAAAAACTAATAAAATGAAGTTCCGTGTGTTAAATTTCGACAGCCGCCAAGATGTTAGATGCGTAGATGCAAGTGTAGCGCTGCGACGAATCGCTGCATTTTGTGTACATAGGGCACGGTAAAGCTGTTCTCGAAATGTATCTTTATTATTCTATTGACAGCATTTCGTCACAATGACTTCGCTTCTGCTCCAAGCATCCTCCTTTAGCAAGTTAACTAATCAATCCCGCTGATATGCTGCCGCAGTTTGCTGCATCAGCCTTACTGCCATACCTAAACAAAAGCGTTGGGCGGAGCGGTTTCTGACGCTTAGCGTTAGCGCCGAAGTGCCATACCTAAACAAAAACGTCAACGCTACATCAAACGCAGAAATAACACCAACAATAAGCATAGGTTTGTTTGTGTGTAACACGAAAATGACAGTTCCGCCCTTTTCTGCAGCCAACTTCAATACCTAACGCCCTGTCAAAATCGGATTTTCCAACCGCTCAGCGTTGACGCCGCGTTGTTTCGGTATGCTTCATACAAATTGTATGGACATGAGAATTTTTGACAGCCAGACCACGCTGACGCTTTTGTTTAGGTATGGCAGTTAATTGCAAAGCAATGGAGTGCACTAAAACGTTTGCTGCAACAGCTTCGTTTGCAAATCAATCGAGTGCACTAACGTTCACTATTCTCTAATAGACTATGTGAAAATGCAATATTTTTGCATTTAGCAAAATTAAAACACGTTTTTCGCTGTAAAGTGAACTGTTTTGGCAGTTTCAACTCGTTCTTCTTTTCTCTCTATTCTTTGTTTACTTGTGGTACAGAATTTGTGAGACAGATAGTGATGTGCTGAATTTTTGAGTACCCAATACTTAAAAAAGATTTCGGTACCCAATACTTCTTTTTCGGTACCCGAAACCGATTCTTTACACTAAAACCTTCGCCATTTTATGCATTTCAAGTTTAGAAAAAACTTTAATTACTAATTTATATGATATCGGCTAAAATACTTGAACTTATCGCAATAGAGAAATATTATTTTATCAGTTTTAATCTTAGTTGATCCAAGGTTCAAGAAAAATGCTTTTACGGATGAAGAAGCCTTTCAGGGGGGAGATTCTGTAACCAGTTAGCGACAAGTTTCGAATCGATATCGCACTTGTTGACGTAAAAATATTTCATATCATACGCCAACAAAACCGATGCCGATTCGATAATTGTCGCAGGCCTACAAAAATGATATAATCCGATTCAGCTGGAACAAAAACGCTTCAAACAAGTAAGAGTGTCTCTGCATTATGGCCTCGAACCGACATATATACATCTTTCATTTGAATCCGTATTAAAAGCTCTATTGGCTCCTACATTCGGGTTTTTATAGGCGAGTCTCCCCTGAACCGTTTTTTCCATATTTTTGGCCTATGTGTGCTTTTTTTCGAAACCTAGATGTTTCGGTACCGAGTATCGAGAGTATTGGAACTTTTTAAATCGGTACCGAATATCGATCAATACATAAAAGTATTAACTCAGCACATCACTAGAAACAGGCAACATGTAAACACAAAACAGCTGATATGCACTTTGACGCTTTATTCGTTTTACCCGGAGAAAAAGTCCGGGCTGTTTTGGGCAGGAAGAAGAAGACACTTACGATCCAATACGTTCCAATTTTCGCTCTCTATTAGCCAATTTGTTGAGTACGGGAATGATTTCTGGGCTCTTTTGGCACCCGCGGGATTCCGCGTTGGGCACGGGAAGGAACCTATTCTACCATTCTTGGTATGGTGTATTACACTGTATGACGATGTGGACTATGGTGACACTCAGATGCGCTGTCGCGCTGAGCTAGTGCTCTGACACCACAGGTGGCGCCGGCGTTATTGAGCTAGCGCCATAAAAACTCCGCTATCTATTACCCATGGCTAGTAACGTGGCAAGTTCAGGAATAGTATCCCAAAATATTTCCTTCATTTGGGTAAAATCAATTACCTTGTTTATACTGACACATAAAGCGCTTTGACCCAGTTCGCTGTGACTCAAAACGGATGCATAAACTAAATTTCAAAACGCGTTGAAATTGAAAAGTGTATTAACTTCAATTTGTTTTCAAATCGGTTCTTTGTTTCTCACATCAGTTAGAAAACGCAAGGCATAACCAAGGTGTATTAAACAAGGTGTGATTGACAACTCAGTTAGGCTCTCTTTTAAGGTACTATTATGCCAAAAAATATAAACAATCGATTCAAAATTCATACAAATTTTTTTTCAATTTGACTTTATAGGATGGTTCTTCTGAGAGCAATGTCAAATTCAATCACACTTTGTTGAATAAATTTTGGGCATAACAAGGTAGAAGTGATTTCGACATTTCTCTCTTTTGAACTGCGACTAAAATGTCAACTCTTAACCCTATAGTATTCAAAATTTTAATTTTTATACCTTTCATGAGCATGAAATGGTATTATAACTTTGGTCCGATGTTTGTAAGTACCAGAATAAAAATAGATAGACCCATTAAAATGTATACTTATATGATCAGAACGTCGAGCTGAGTCGATTTAGCCATGTCCGTCTGTCCGTCTGTTCGTCTGTCCGTTTGTCTGTCTGTCCGTCTGTTTGTATGCAATCTAGTCTCTCAGTTTTCGATATATCCGGTGCAGTACTTGCACCCATTATCAACAGAATACTTACAGTGAAAATTACAAAGATCGGGTCACTATAACCTATAGCTCCCATACAACTGATTGTTCAGATATAAAATTTTTCGTTATAACTCCTCCATTTATTTAGCTAGGACCATGCAATTTCGCGCTGTTTTCACTCATTATCAACAGAAGACTTACAGTGAAAATAACAAAGATCGGGTCACTATAACCTGCAGCCCCCATACAACTGATTGTTCAGATATGAGGTCTTTTATCATAACTCCTCCATTTATGCAGCTAGGAACATGAAATTTCGCACCATTTTCACTCATTATTAACAGAATACTTACAGTGAAAATAACAAGGATCGGGTGACTATAAAGTATATGTATCTTCCATACATCTGATTGTTCAGATATGAGATTTTACTGTAAAACTCTTTTATTTGAACAGCTAAAACCGATAAATTTCGTAAGATATTTTATAAATAATCATACAAAGTCTACTGAGAAAATCGTCAAAATCTATGCTGTATAAGCTTTATCTCCTATACCACTGATTGTTCAGATACCAGTTTTTGCGATATATCTCCTTTATGTATGAAACTAAACCCAATAAATTGTGTTACCGGTTTACATACCGATCACATAGCAGTGAAAATCGCGTAGATTGGTGCTAATATAAGGTATATCTTCCATACCTCTGATTGTTTAGTTGCGATTTTTTATGTAAGTATGTAACTCCTCTATCGATTTATGCAGATGTATTCAAAAGCAGTAATATGTCAAAGTAAAATTTGCAGATGTTCATGAAAGGTATGAAGCCTTCGGCATAGCCGAAGACAGCGCTGCTCTTACTTTTTTTAATATACATTTTCAATTGTGAGCTGTGCGACTGATTTTAAATACATAATATGTTGTGTTTGACAAGAGCCAGGACAACAAACTTGTGCGTTATTTTAAAACTCGGAAGTATCAATGCTTCATTAGGAGACTCTTCACGTGTGCGCGAAGACCATTTTAGTGCCAGTGACTTTATTTGTTGCCCATCGCAGCCGGGTATTTCTAAGCGGACGCGTTTATTCCCAGGTGCAGGAATTATTATACCGAATATGAAGAGAAAATCTTCCACTCATATATGTACATGGATAGACCAAATTTCAAATGGTGGTCTAACAAAACCTAAACCGGAATTCCTTGTTGACATAAAGAAACTGAAACTAACTTTTAATAAATTTAATGGAAAGGAAATTTCGAATTGCAAAAATTTAATAGCTGAATTATTGAAGATAAGTTCTGATATAAATTTAGAATAATCAAACCTTTTTTAAATGTCTAATATACTTTAGAATTAAGTATTTGAATAAAAAAAATAAATGCTTAAAAACATTGCGCTAGTAAAAGCAAGAAAATTGCCAAAATGCGTTTATAAATGAGGGTGTTTCACTTAGTGTGTAATTTTGAGTAAGTATGCATTTCCACATTTACATTAAAACGAAAAGGTAATACCTAAAATGAAGCTGATTCTAATGAGATTTTAAAAATTTTCATATCTACAAAAACTTCCATTTCAAAGATATTAGCCCGTAGCTATAGTCAAAATAAAGTCGACTCTAAAGTTACAAGCCGCTTTTTTTGACAGATATCCCATTGAAAGTTATGTCAAAAAGCTGCATTTAACTTTTATTTGACTATAGCTACGGGCCGTTGAGTTTTATCAAATATGGTAAATGCATAACAAAGGGTTATTTTCTTTGTTTACGTTTTTTGACATTACAGTCAGCTATGAGAGAGCTCGATTGAATTTTCACTTCTACCTTGTTGAATATGCCTTGTATAAACGCATAATTCATTTGACGTGAAGTGAAAATATGCTGGCTCTCTTTATACAGCCCGTTTTAAATTTGAATTATTGTTATAATAAATTACAATTATTGTTTGTTTCCATTTCGGTCAACCGCGCAATTTGTTTATTAAAAAAATGTCGTATAAAAATAGTAGATTTTGTTTACTTTTGAATACGACTTCATCGAGTGCGCTATAAATACAGAGGTATAAATGTTGTAAAGAAATACATGTTGAGTGCAATCGGATTTTGGTTAATGCGGTTCTTGTGTAGGTATAAAGAAGGTAAATGATAACATTAGAAAAAGCTCAAATATGTACACACATACATACATTTGATGTATGCTTTATACAGTCAAGAGTAAACAACAAAACATAATACCAAAACAAACCGAAAACCACAATGTACATACGCTCTACAGAAAGTTCCCAAATTAAAAAGGAGCTTTCAAAGCTCGCTGACTGATGGAAATAAATGCATTGCATAAAATTACGATTAGAATAGTCCTTAGCAACGCGTTTGAGAGAGTAAACCTTTATATTAAAGTGCAAAGTAACGCACAACAGATTCGGTTTCAAGTGCCAGTGGAAAATTTAAGCTATTAAAATAATACAAAACAAGAATTGTAGTTTACTAAACAAAATGTGAACGTAATACAAAGTTAAAATATCGATATTATTTCGAGTGAGCCATATTTATTAATCGTAAAATCCACACACTCAGTTTACTACCTTGGCACAAGGGAGTGGCCAGTCACGCCAATAACTGCCTTGTACTGCATTGAATTCCAAATCTAACAAGAGCCAAATGGATTTTTGGTGAGTTAATTCTTTAAAAAAAATTGCTTGTAATAGATTTCGACTAGAAAATTCTAAACTGAGAAAGCCATGAATCATCCGAAAGAAAATGGAACCTCTCCCATCAACGACGCAAAATTGTGAAAAAAGACATGACACACAACCACATAGTATGTATGCTTCCAGAATGTCCTTTTATGTATAGGGCCATGGACACGTACGCATGTACATTAGAGTGGTCCAAAATAATAAAGTCGGAGTTTTAATGCCGCCTCCCCCTAGGATTGTTCTGAACCGAAAATAAATATACCCCTATTTTTATACCCGAGCGCACTTGTGCACAAGGGTATTATAACTTTGTTCACATAACAGTTGTTTGTAACAGGCAAAACGAATCGAGATAGATATAGACAAATGTATACATAAATGATCAGAATGAAAAGAGAAATCGATTAAGCGGTGACTGTCTGTCCGTCCGTCCGTCCGTCTGTGCACACGATAACTCGAGTAAAAATATAGATATCTTAACGAAACTTGGTACGTGGACTTCTTTTGGGCATGGGACAGATGGTAATGAAAATGGGCGAAATCGGACAGTAAGCACGCCTACCTCCCATATAACGGTAATTTTCAGAAATACGAAAAGTGCGATATTTTAGTAACTACTGAAGATAATTCACCCAAAATTGCTATTTACAATGAGTTTTAGGCGAAAAATAAGAATATTAAAAAATTTTGGCAAATGGGCGTAGCCACGCCTAGTTATGGTTATATGCGTATACCTTGGTAACCGCTGCACCAATTTCTTCAGAACTTGGCACAGTTGTTGGTCCTGCTACAACATACCACATGGCCGAAAATTTTTAAAATCGGACAATAACCACGCCCACATCCCATATAACGGTAATTTAGAAAAATACGAAATCCTCGATAAATCAGTAAATATTAAAGCTAATTTATTCAAAATTGATGGTTGCTACAATTTTTTACCAAGAAATACGCTTATGATACAATTTTGGAAAATGGGCGTGGCACCGCCCACTTATGATCACATATATGTATCTCGCTAACCGTTCTAGCAATTTGAACCAAACTCGGTATGGTTGTTGTGCTTGCCACATAAAAGCAAAGCGTTGAAAATTATTGAAATCGGACTAAATTACGACCGCTTTTCATATAACGGTATATTTCAGAAATGCTTGAAACTGCAATATTTCGAAATTTAAGCACGCTAATTTACTTAAAATTTATACACCCCGGCTAATCGTGTAGCGGTAGTTTTCGGAAAGGTGGAAAACATATATTTAATAATTGCGCCGGGTATTTAATGTTCGGCTCCGCCCGAACTTAGACTTTCTTACTTGTTTATTTTGAAATCAAAACATATATATTTAGGGAATAATAAAAAAAAAATATTGATTTGCAAGAATTCTACACTATTTCTACGAAAAGTTGTTTTTGCCCCATATAAAATACATTGAAAACTTTGAGCGCTTTGAGCACTCCCTAAATTTTTTGTTATTTCAAAATTAAAAAATAGGGGTATATTTTTTGTCGGTATAGAAGAATCCTAGAGGGTGGCGGCATTAAAAATGCGACCTTATTTTTTTTACATACATTTTTGGACCACTTTAATGTACATACATACGTACAAATGTACATAAATATATGTTTTGTATAAGTTTATGTGCTTTGAGTCAACTTTGGCTTCGGTAACTTTTGTTGATGCATTGCAAACTTTTCTCGCTACTTTTATGTCTAACAAAAGGATCCACCATCGGGCACCTGCCTCATAAACAGAACTTCAAATAATATTCCATACATGCGCAAACATACATTCATACGTGCATGACTAAGTGAACGTTATATAAAGTTACTTGTTAAACATGTATGCCTTGATAAATTAGTACTCAATACCGAAAGTTTGCGTAATTTCGAATAAGCTATGTTATTTTATTTCACTGTGAATGAAAGTATAATAAAAGTATCTTCTTAGCACATAATTACTTTCGGGGTTACTAGTTTCATAACTAGATTATATTTTCACTCAGGGACCGTAACGGTTATAACTTTTATTATAAAAATCACTTTTTAATCGTTAATAACTGAGTTTTATTTTTTGCTCAAAACATAACGATTATTTTTTGAGTTTTATTTTTTACTCAGAAAATAATCGTTATGTTTTGAGTTTTAGTTTTTGCTCGGAAGATAATGGTTATTTTTCGAGTTTTATTTTTTGCTCGGAAAATAATCGTTGCGTTTTGAGTTTTATTCTTTACTCCTAAAATAATGGTTACGTTTAAAGTTTTATTTTTTGCTAGGAAAATAATCGTTACGTTTTAATTTTTGTTTGCGGTCTCTGTTTTTACTATAAAGCACTATTTCATTTCCTTTTTATATTTTAAGGGCCAGTTTTTCAGTGTCCGGCTGTGGTTTAAACTAAGTTTAAACGCCCGATCTGGCTGGTTTAAACTAAGATCAGTTAATCAAATGTCAGTCAGCTGTTCAATCTAAACTTAGTTTACTTAATCTAAGTTTAAACTGGCACTGAAAAACTGACCCTAAGTGCCTTCTTTAGAGATTTAGAAAGGTTTTATGACAGTCACTGCATTACAATTAAAAAAAATATTTACGTTTCAATCCTATGTTCAATGCCCCAAAACAATGAAATTCAGGGCGATATGCGATGGCAAAGAGACTGTTCCTGGACTTGTAATAAAAGATTTCGCGTTGTTTGCTCGAAATGTTAAGGCAAGCTTTAATATTGCAGATATGCCAGAGAAGTCCATGAGAAAAGAGGTTTGCTTAACAACAGGTGGGACTTTGCTCTAACAATAACCCCAAAAGTTTCATCCAAGAAAATTTAATACTGCGCCAAAATTCCTTTTTTTCCTGCTAAGAGATAGAGCAGTTTCGATTAGAAATTACTAGGATCTATATATTTAGTAGTGTTGGGAAGTATCGAGTACTTTTGAGGATCGAGTTCTTTGGTATCGACAAATTTAGGGATCGGGTATTTTACAAAGTACTGAGTACTTTCTTTAAATATACACATGTTGATAACATTTCAATACTTAGTGTAGAAATCTTACAAGCTGGCAGTATCTTATTCAAATTAATATATGAATCCCAAATTACGTCAAATGAATGGCTAACTTATAACTAACTGGGTACAAGTATTGCACTTGAAAATTATTGAAACTGCAAATTAAGTAAATTCATTTTTGAATACCGTTAAATATAAATAAAACTCAGTAATTTTTAAGTCTATTCGACACTTAGGCTTGCGAGTACGTCTAAATTGCTACCTAAATCGAGAAAAATCCTAAATCACTAGAAAGTGTCGGTAACGCAGTGAATAGGAACAATTTAGATTTTCTGCGAACATACTTTTCAACCTAAATTGAACAGCCAAATATATTTGAGCGAGCGATTAAATGAACAACGATTTTTTGATGTTTTAACTAATTTTTATCATTGCTATGGCACAAAAAAGAAAATATTCAGAAAGATGTAAGTATATTATTTTATTTGATTTTTGCATTCAGATAAGTATATATGCAATTCGATGGATATATATTATTTCGCAGGGTCAGAAGAGCAAATGGATTCTTTTATAGATGCCAGGATGGAGCATTCTCCTTTTCTGTTGCAAATTTATTATATTGTTAAATAGTCCCAAAGCTACCACAAAATTATTCATTTTATAGATATATTTATTAAAAGCAAGCAAATTCAAATTCCAAAACAAAAAGTTAGGTTGTCAAACGAACCCGCACAGTTTTAGCAGCTCTTCTTCTTCTTCTTTTTTGGCGCTGTAACCGCCTAAGCGATTTTGGCCGAGTTCAGCAAAGCACGCCAATCATTTCTCCTCTGTGCCAACTGACGCCAATTGGAAACGCCAAGTGAAGCCAAGTCCTTCTCCACCTGATCTTTCCATCGTAGTGGGGGCTTACCTCTTCCTCTGCTACCACCAGCGGGTTCCGAGTTGAATACTTTCAGAGCTGGAGCGTCGGTGTCCATTCGAACGACATGACCAAGCCAGCGAAGCCGCTGTATTTTAATTCGCTGCACTATGTCCATATCGTTGTAAAGCTCATACAGCTCATCATTCCATCGTCTGCGGTACTCGCCGTCGCCAACGCGTAAAGGCCCGTAAATCTTCCGCAAAATCTTTCTCTCAAACACTCCAAGAGCCGCCTCATCGGATGTTGTCATTGTCCATGCTTCTGCGCCATATACCAGCACGGGCATGATGAGTGACTTATAGAGCGTGGTTTTCGTACGTCGAGAGAGGACTTTACTCCTGAATTGCCTACTCAGTCCAAAGTAGCACTTGTTGGCAAGAGTGATTCTACGTCGGATTTCAATGCTGACATTATTATCGGTGTTAATGCTGGTTCCCAAGTAAACGAAATTCTCTACTTTCTCGAAATTGTAACTGTCAACAGTGACGTGGGTGCCAAGGCGCGAATGTGCTGACTGTTTGTTTGATGACAGGAGATACTTCGTCTTGTCCTCGTTTACCACCAGACCCATGCGCTTTGCTTCCCTATCCAACTTGGAAAAGGCAGAACAGACTTCGCGGTTTTTGTTACCGATGATGTCGATGTCATCGGCATAAGCCAGCAATTGCACGCTCTTGTAGTAAATTGTTCCTGAGCGGTTCAGTTCTGCAGCTCTTATTATCTTCTCCAACATCAGATTAAAGAAGTCACATGAAAGGGAGTCGCCCTGTCAGAAACCCCGTTTTGTGGCGAACGGCTCGGAGAGGTCTTTTCCAATTCTGACGGAGCTGGTGGTATTGCTCAACGTCATTTTACACAGCCGTATGAGTTTTGAGGGGATGCCAAATTCAGACATAGCGGCGTATAGGCAACTCCTTTTAGTGCTGTCAAAAGCGGCTTTAAAGTCGACAAATAGGTGGTGAGTGTCGATCCTTTTCTCGCGGGTCTTTTCCAAGATTTGGCGTATTGTGAATACCTGGTCTATGGTGGATTTGCCAGGTCTAAAGCCACACT